CAATCGATTCAAATCAAAATACTACTAACCATTTCTTTTATCTATTGTATCTATCTTTTTCTCTTCGAATTTGGCTTCGCGTATTTGTACTCGTTTACGTTTTTCTTTCTAATTGCTAATTCTAATATTTTGTTTAATTACTTTTGTTTTTTCTTTACTAAGTGTAATTTAAAATATTAGTACTCGTTGTTAAATAATATCGATATTTCATTCATATTTCATATTCATTTCTTATTACATAAAATAATTTTGTTTGTAATAAGAAAAATATCGCATAATTATCATATTGCAATTTGTATAATAATATACAACTATATTTTTGTTAATTACTTAAAACAGATAATATTATCACGTTGACTATCAAAATAACATTTTCCATTATTACAATAATCTCAAATATTTCTATAAAATAATATATCAAAAAAAGCTGTAACAATCAGTAATATTTATAAAACTGTTCACAAATATAAAAGTCATTCGAAATCATTCCATTACAATTTTTAAAATGATCGACAAAACGCAAGTACATATCATACCCCCAATATTTTATATTTCAACAGAGACCATTCCTGTTCTTCCTCTTTATCTCTGTCTTCTGTTCATATCATCTATCTCTATCCTTACCACTGTCTCGGGTTATCTTTCTACCTGTTTCTATCTAAATCTTTTTCTATTTTTCTTATTCCATTGGGATACCATTATCGTATTTGCCGAGCAGTAGTACTAGTAATAGTAGTAGTATGTCTCTTGCCATGTCCACTGTCGTCGTTAATAATTTCGAAAAGGAAAACTCTTTCGGAATAAGAATGTCCCTCAATGGAATAAAATACATATCGTTTTACCTTTAACCATGTCTGCTACTCGTGGTCCTCCCTCCTCCCTCCCCTATTTTCCCCCTTTTAAATATACCACCATCTAAAAGCCAGACGGAAAAGTTGAAATTGATTTTGCAAAACCGCAAGCCGCCTTATGCAAATGAGAGTAGAAGGATAGAAGAGAAAAAGAAGTAGGGGAAGGATGACAGGGGGGCAGGGGGAGGAAGGGGAGAGAAAGGAAGGAAGGAAGAAAGGAAGGAAGAAAGGAAGGAAGGAAGGATGGACGAAAGTCGACTCTTCGAACCTTCCAACCTACCTCTAACCCACCCTCGAACCTTCCTCACAAACCCCCAACCCGTTTTCATGGTCTCTTTCGCGAAGAGTACTGAATTATGAGCGTGATTTCCGGTTAGATGGACCTTCCGGCCTGGCACGAGTCCAATGCCCGGTGAAAGTCCACGGATAAATCAGACGCCTTTTTCGATGTGAGTACAGTGAATCTGTGTGTGTGAGAGAGAGAAGCGTTAGTTTATTGCTATGTAAATCATTTCATCTTCGTACGGGTTATCAAAAGATTTCCAACGAACGATGGGCTAGATAGTTGAATAGGAAAAATTGTTTTTCTACGTCCTTGGGAAAAAAGTGAGAGAAAGGGAGAAAATAACAAGGAAGAAAGAAAAAAATAAACAAATGGAATTACATTCGCGTGAGTGTTTCTATCACGGTCGTAGCATCAATCGTTACAGAGATATCATGTACAGACATCATGCGTGCCAAGTACGAGGGGTGCGTTACATGACGTTGTATTAGCATAAAACCCAAGCACACAGGCTTTTATGGTACTAAACATAGGGTTGGAAAACATCGATGATAGAAAATTCTGTTCGGATTTGTATTCGATATGAGTAATTATAACAATTATAATATTTGCTTTTTCCTTTTTTTGTTGTTGTCAAGTATTCTTAAAAAAGAATAATTTATCTATAAAGTTTAATATAAATCAAGGTAAATCTGCATAAATAAATGAAAAGAAGAATAATATTTAAAAAAAATCGTATCGCGATGTGTAACGTGACGTATCGTTGTGTCGTGATTACGCATAAATGTAAATCGTAAACGAGATCAATATGAAGGAAAAAGCCTGAGAAATGTTTCGATACTGTGTGTCGGGTAAAAGTACGATAAGGTTGAAAGCGAGTTCGTGTTATGGCGAAGGGTTCTAGGGATGACGTTAACGAGGATCAAAGTTAAACCAATGGAAAGTAGCGGCAAAGAGGATTTCATCAGGAGAGAGAGATGCGAGTAGTAATAAGAATTTAAGTAGTACCAGGTAAATCCGCAAAAGCAATACTCACCTACCTCTTTTTTTTACTATTATTATTATTATTATTTGCTACCTGGTTCGTTAATTAAACTAATTAGCCAATTTTATCAATTCTGAAGCAGCTTACTCATAAATTGTATAATTAAAGCTACGCGTAAGTACTTGCATGTTTCTCTCTTTCCAAGGCTTAAACTTAATATTGTTAAAGCTGCTAATACGCGTGAAAGCTTTTTTCCGAATATTAACAGGAAGAAAAACGAAAGCTTTATTTTTGATCTTTGCCGAGAAAATGAGGAAAAGTTTTTAACGGTAAACAAAGTTTGGCCGAAGGGGGATGTGCCGCGATCGAAGCATTAATTTTATTTTTATTATTATTCTTATTTGTATTTTTATTTTTATTTGTATATTTCTTTCACGACGAAGCGGGGCTTCTCGTGCCCAAACGGAAAGGAAAAAAAGTGAGAGAAAGAGAATGTTGAAACGATTTTCGAGGGTAAACGAAGATGAATAGCCGGGAAATTGGCGAAAAGAGGGAAAGAAAGTATCATGCGAGCCAAACTGGAGGGTTCTCTCTATTGCACGCGTGTATATACGTATATATACACACGTGTGTGGTAAATAATTTCAATATTTTTCGATTTGTCTAATTTTTCATTTTCCTTTATACATTAATGTCCAATTACTTATCTTACATATTATTAATATTTCCCTAATTGTACCCAAAAAAAAAAGAAAAAAGGAAATATCTTTCATTTTCTTCCGAAAATAATTTCTCAAATGAAATATCTTATTAATCATATATTTAATAATAAATAATATAAATTCATTGTGAAATAATACAAAGTGAAAAGTAACGAGAGTTAATTAATTAATTATATATATAATAAATCATAATAATCCCCTTGTCGCCGTTTGAATTATTTATAATGATTCCACGCTCGAATGAATAATCGTTTTAATTAAAAAAGGATGACGCCTGAATCGAGTTAATTGTCGAAGCCAATTCATTCAAACCCAACGTGTAGTGGAGAGAAAGACCCACCCTCCCCCGTACACCATTCTCGTGTCTTTGAATCCTCCCTCTTTGGAAAATGGCCGTTTGCAATTTAACGGAATCTCTGCATATAGAGTGGGCTCATCGTGGCAGGTCCGTACTTTAAATGACGTCCCGCGAGTCTCCGTACTAATTCTATGGGTCCTTCCAATGGATAGTATATACATACATACATAATACATATATACATATGTATATAAAGTATATAAGCCCAACCCAACATCGCCCTTGCCGTCCACATGGAAGGGTGCAAGCCAAGTGCTGGTTACACAGCAGCAGCTGCTTGTTATAATTGTACAAGCCTCACGAACGATAGGAGGAACTAACTTGCATAAAAAGAATACTTCGTCAAGGTATACCAATTTTTTCTTTTCCCTATTTCTTATTTTTCATCAAAAATATTATTCTCTTTATTTTAAAGGACAAATCTAAAAACAATTTAGAATCTACGTTTGGTTATTATCGTTGTTATCGATAATGGCAACAAAGCCAGTAGACAAACAATAGAAAACGAAAGGTGGGATGCACGAAAAGGGGTAAACTACGTGACCTGGCATATGAAAGGGTTCTTCTTGAATCTTAACCCTTTTGGTTAATACCTATGACCGTAATATATACGTGTTATACTACGTGTCGGATATAATAGGGATAATAATTAATTATTATATATATTTAATTACGCGAATATATTCAAATTTATACGAATATAGAATTTTATTTTGTTTTTAATGTAAAAATGATACGAATAGTATAGGGAAATACAGCAATCGGAAAAGAATCGATACCGACGACGAAGATGACTACAGACGAAGGTCTGTTTCGTGTTAGAAAGCCAAGAGCAAAGTCACTTTCTAACTTTCGGCAGGATATTCGAGACGTAATTCCTGTTGGCGTAGTTTTAAGCTGCCTTAGCCAGAGCTTAAACTTTAAGAAGAGATCGTACTCTATACGTACGTCGGAGATTACGAAAGTGCTACTACGAAATTTGGATTTCCACAAATTTACCACCAAACATACAATTTATATGTTCCTTTTTCTTATTTTAACATGTGAATAAATATAGATTTTAATAAATAAAAAAAAAACTATTCGTCTATGTTTTAGAGTACATAAGTCGTTTACTAACATTTATTTAAGAAAATGTTCTCCTTAAAAATTATCGACTAACATTTATGCTGAACTGAATGAATCATTATTATTCGTCAAACAAATTTTGTTTGAAATATTTAACAGTATACCCTCCCTCTCTCTCTCTCTCCATCTCACTCTTCTTATCGCTATTTTATTCACACAAAAAAAAAAAAAAAGAAAAAAGATCGACCTTATATTTTTACTCGACACTTTCATCCTATCTCTGATCCCTCTCTTATAATTTTTTTTTTTTTTTTAATTCGTTTCACTTACGTTACACTTACGTCACACTCTCCGTTAAATCTCGTGCGTCGATTTACCCCCTCGCTATAAAGAAGTTTCACTTCAAAAGGTAAGAGTGATAGAGTAAAAGAAAAAGAAACAGAGAGAGAGATAGAAAACTTTTATATTCACGGACGATGCTCATCCCGGAAACGCTTTTAATGAAGTTTTATCTCGCGTCCATTACGAGTAAATACCTATGCGAAAGGCTGAATTGGGCTGGCCGTTAAAGTCAGAAGCGGGGGGAGGGGGATGAGGGGGACGGTCGATCGTAACGGTAACGTTAACTCCTTAAGTGCTTTCCCGCTTCGACGTGGAGAGAAAAGACAGCAGCAGCAGCAGCAGACACAAAAGTTACGCTATCGTGTTCACGAAACCGACGTTAATGTTTCAGGAGAGCCTCGAGGAGCGAGTTCACGAATTGGAACGAGCACTGCAAGCGGAACGTCTCGTCTCTCAACGAGATCGTGCTACGATCACCAAACTTCAACGACAAATTAACAAGGTAAAAACATTTTTTTTCCTATAAGCTTAACCCTTCGAATGGTAATTTTCTTTTTCTCTATCTTACCATTCTTTTTCACTGCAAAGATAAAAATAAGTATATTATATCCCGTTGAATAAATGACTTTTATTTTATAAATGAAACATAACGGGGGAACAAATGAAAATGGACAATCGACAAATCGATTATGTTAATAAATAAAAAAACACTTGGCAAATCCGTAACTAATCTGGATTTCCTCGAGAGCTACTTAAACGACAACGGCATTTGAAAAGGGCAATGGTTTCTCTACTTAAGTGAAAGAGAAAGGAGGAAAATGATGTGCGGGGGAGGTCTGTTTCTGACGTCTATCCGGCCCTTTTCCAACGAGAGCCCTCTCTTCCTTTCGTTTACCAAATCTATATGATATAAAGTATCATGACAAAAACAAGGATTCCCAAGCAGACTAGTAAAGTATAGAGTACTCGGCATTCAATTTTCGGTGTTTTTTGTTTTATTATTTTTTTCAGATTCACATAATCTTCATTCCTGATTAATATATTCTTGGCAACGAGTAAAAAAGTAAATACTATTATTCTAATAAAAATAAAGGAACCGTCTCTTCTTATCTCATACAAGTCAACAAGGATTTCATTTTATTCTCTTTTTTTTTTATTATACCTATAAAATAAAAAAAGAAGCTTTACTTTTTCTTAACTTTAATAGGTATAATAAATAATACTGCCGCTATTACGATTCTCCCGTTTCTGCATAAATAAATGCAATTAATTCTTCTCGGTGAGAAATATTTTCAACCGTAAAAAGAAAAAAAAAAAGAACATTATAAAATATGATTCGCAACGATTAATTTTGATCACAAAAATTGATCAGGATCGATGAATAATTGATAATTAGAATGATAAATTAGATACATTTTCGAACGTATTTGTCGCGTTGACTTTAAGTTCATCTCGCATTTAAGGGATGAAACGTCTTTTAGGCGATAGGGTAAGAGAGAAAAGATGGATAGACGAAGAATAAGGGGATGGTATAGTAAGGGGGGAATAAAATCGTGGGCGCGTTAAGTCGAAAGGAGATACCTATATATATATATTCATATAATGCAAAGGCAGACATTGCGCGGGGTTCACTTTCAATAAAGACTCGTCTGTAGCCTTGAGCGAGAGGGTGAGAAAAGAACGCCGAGAAAAAGAGAGAGAGAGAGGATATCAATTCGTCGCGATGACGACGATTACTATCCTTCGAAGTTTCCTTACAAACGTACCTTTCGCATTTCAAATGAATTCTTACCATCAAACACTAGTTTCGAATAACCCAACCCCATTTTGTTCTAATCAAAACTAAACTTTTGTAATTTTCGAATTGGTTAATAAAAAGAATTCTTTCAGAATTTTACGTATGAAAAAGGAAAATATTATTTGGAATCGTGTTAGATTTGCGTTACGTTAAACCTCGACTCTATAGTGTTACTTATATATACGTAAAATATTAAATATTTTGTATGTGTAATTAATTAAAAAAAAAAAATAATAAAAATAATAGTAATAAAAAAGAAAATCCTCTGTAGTATTATTTATTTAAATGCAAAGCTATACCCAAGCAACCACCTATTACTAATATCACTAATTGTCCAAGTGAATAGATTTGTTTTGAATGAAATTTCTAATAGAGACAAATGTATTATATAATATTTGCTATAATAATAAATAATACATTTTTTGATAAGAAATATTTTGATTTGAAAGATATCTCATCAGAGTTAGGGGAACCCTCTCTACGATGTAGTAATCGTTAGATTGGCTTCTCTTGTGTTCTCATTCAACGATAAACACGCTTCGCCGTCTATTAGTCGTACTCGAATTACGGTCAAACAGATACCGCCTCGGGTGGTGCTCATAGTAGTTTTGCGATCAAAGGACGCGTCGATTCGAGCTTTGCCGCGAGAGCAATCTTCACGTACGACTGGAGCTTAAAATTCACCATCGCCACCCTCCCTCCTCCCACCATTCGCACAAATTCTCCTCTTGCACTTTGAAAGCGAATGTCGAACGATGGATACTAACATGCTTTCTGCAATTAATCGGAAACGATATCGACCAAATAATTTTCTTTATCCAAAGGGGTGGGGTGGGAGGAACGAAGGGTGGAGGGTGTTTCTTCAATCAAACTCAATGGAAAAAATTGTATAAGATTAAAAGTGTATCGTACATCATCTTTTCAAAGTTTTATTCGATTGGAAATCATTTTTCAACTTTGAAGAATATTATATTTTATCAATTGTGACACCTTTTGTGTGTCTTCTTATTAGATTTGTAAAATTAAATGGTCGCTTATTGTTGTTACAATTAAAATGACACGGAAAAAATTGTATATTACTTCGGTGAATGCTGTGTTCTTAATTTTAAGTGTTTACTTTATCCAACACGAGCCAGTTCTTTTAAACGAGTCCCTAGAGAATAATCCGATGCTGTCAGGCTAGTCACGTTATTGTTAACCATGTTGAATTAACATTTCAATTATTTCTGACTGAAACTAATTAGGTTTCTCGCTTCTAAGGTATGTTTTAGTTATTCTCTCGCGATGATAAGAATGCCGTGTACTTTACCATTATATAAATCAGTCTATTAATAAACTTGACGGTGTAAAAATATACAAATACGAAAATGTATCAATAATATATTTATAATAATTTATTAAAGTATTAATTGAGTATTCGTATATCATTCAAACGAATTCTCTGTCTCGATTTACATTTAATTTCGATTCATATCAAAACCTAATAATAATTTATTTCTATTAAATTTATGCATACATCTCAGAAATAAAAAATAAAATGTTTAGTTAAATAGAATAATCGTATGCGTATGTTTGTTTGTTTTTTTAAATTAGCGTATTACTTCTAAGAACGCATAAATTATAAAATAATATTTTTTGAAGGGAAAAAAAAGGGAGTTAGTTTCGTACGCTCGATGTCACCCTCTCATTTTTCATTAGACACGCGTAGTAAATGATCGATACCAAAAGGGGATCGGAGGGTAAAGGAGGATTGGAACGTCCGCGACGTCTCGGCGCCGTTTGAATCTTACCTTCTTCCCCTATTTCCTTATTTCTCCCTCTACCATTCTGCTCTATCCTTCATCCCCGGCGCCTTTCAAATTTACTTCTTTTCCGACGCACCCAAGCCCTATAAGGATTTTCGATCTAAGTATCCTATCTCGGATTTGCAAGTTCCTAGATAATAAATACATCGAGTCCTACCTTTACGAATCTTATTTCTTCTTATTTCATTTATTCAAACAACAATTTCAATATAATAACGATGATAAATAATTTATACAAATTTTATAAATATCAAACCTTCGTTTATAAATATCCCTTAAGATAAATGAAAATCTATTGTAAAACGAAACAAAGTATTTTTTTCTTTTTATAAAATATCTTTCTATAAAAATGATGCACGCATAATTATTGTACAATAAATTCATCAAAATATCGACTCCTAATTAACATTTATCCCTTCGTATATATATGCTGACTATTTGTAACAGAGGAATAAAAATGCATTAGAGTTCGACGGCTTCATTAAAAGAAAAAAAAAGAAGAAATAAAATTACAACCAATATATTTTCCCGCGAGTTCCTCAAAAGAATTTCCTTGGGCTTATTCTCGCAGGATAAAAAAGAAAGAAAGAAAAAAAAAAAAAAGGAAAAGGAAAAGGAAGAAAAAAAAGACAGGCAATTTGATGAAACGTCGGATCCGACAGACGAGTGTTCGCGTAGTGCGTTCCTCGAATGGGGGAGGATTTACAGGAGGCAAATGTTAGATACGTCGACGGTGAGTCGCGTAAGCGTAAAAGGTATATACAGAGAGAGGAGGGTTGAAAAGAAAAAGAAAAAAAAGCGAAGACTAAGAGAAGAGGATATCTTTTTGCAAAGTGGCATGTAAATTGCTCGCACGTACGTACATTAGTCATCATCGTTCCTCTCTCGAAAAAAAAAAAAAAATACCCTCACCGCGACTTTCTTCGAGACAAGTACCTCTTGCCCTTGGTTCGTTCATTCCCCCACCCGTTTCCACTGCTATCCGAACTTGCACCCCGTGCACCCCCTGCATCCCTCTCCTAACCTCTTCTCTCGTGGACCGTTTGTCTCTTTCAGTTTCTCTTTACCAAAGGTTCTGCCTCCTTGAGGAGGCTTCTCTTCAACTTTCCCTGAAATAAATCCTACAGTTTAAAGGGCTAAGGGTGAGTGGGTGGGGGGTTGCAGTTTGAGTAAGTGAGATAGGAGAACAGGTGGTAAAAGGAATTGGCTCGCAAGTCGTCGAGTTTAGATCCGTAGGATGCTTCCTACTGAAATTCTATCCTCCCACCGATCGTATCCAATGTCAGAGACGCGCGAACAAGAAATTAGGGTTCATAGGCCTAACCTTCTTACGTCCTTCCCCCCCTTTATCCTTAAGTCTCTTTTGTCTCTTTGCGAATGGTAGACAATTCCTACGTGAATTTTCATTTAAACGTATCTAACGATTTATTAAAGTATTTTTCATATTACTCCTAGGGTGATTTTAATACTGATATAATTAATTTAATAATAATTTAATATATATATATATCATATTTTTATTATACATGTATGAAAAAAAAGAAAAATGTTCATGTTAAATCTAAAATAAATGATAAACGCTTATCAAATTTTCTATGTGAAATAATGAATAATTAATTTAAATATTATATGTGTTCTTTCCCTTAACGATCAAGAAAAATAAAATAAAATTTGGATTGAAATTCGAAGGATTAAATTTATTCAACATGTTTTTCCATACATACGTCATTGCGGAGGGAATCGTTTTTGGTTGAAATTATTCGAAGTAACGGATAATTATACGCTCGCTTTTCCAACGTCGTAAACTTACCCACGGGTCCCCTTCGACCTTTCTAAATTCATTTCTCCGGAAAGTTTTTGAGCTAAGGGAGGACACCTAACGTCGTTCAAAGAAGAACG